CAGTACAGAGTCCCCTATTCACCAGGGCCTGATGATTCTGGGAGTATCTTCAGTGTGGGTTGCATGTGCTCTGCTGTTGTGTCCTGGCCACGTTATCCTTCAGGCCAGCCATCTGCAGAGGTTCTCTTTGCCTTTTGTGAGCAGTGTTTGGTCTCTGGCCTGAATGTGTGAGTTTTGACTAGGTGTGCTCTGGTCTGCTTGTGAAATGAGACCTGTCACCACCACTGCCAGAACTGAGGCCCTTCAAAACTCCCAGGTCAGAAGATGTGGCGCTGGCATGCCAGAGTCCAGCTCCAGCCGGGGTGGGTCTCTCGTAGGAAAGGACGGCATTGGCGAATGAGGAGACACAGACACAGGATCAGGTTGCAAGCATCTCCTCCTGACAGTCTCAGAGAAACTTTATTTATATGTTAGGATATTTTTGTTTTTCCAAATCTTAGATCATTTTCTGGATTACAGCCATAGCCTTCTTTCATTTTTCCTTTGTAATGATTAACATGACCTTTATTGATTTCTGCTTATTGGCTTTCACTAAAACTAAAAAACAGTACGCAAAGAGAAAGGTGCTAGGCAGAGCGTGACCGTCTTGTTATTTTGTTCTATAGAAACTAATTCTTCGTGGAATTAGTTTCATTATGATTGCTTAGATAGGCGTGACTAAGATGAGTAGTCACTTTATCATGAAACCCCAGAAATATTCCCACAATTATAAAGATTGCCATAAACAAAATGAAAGAGAATAGCAGGAGCCAGCTGTGGAGTCTCCTGTTTTCAGGATCGTCCCCCACACTTGGACTTTGTCAAACAGCATGAGTAGCTTGGCTCGCGCCACTGGCAGGTGTTTGGGCTGCTCTTCTAGTGGAGGGGGCCTGCCATGCTGGGACTGAAGCAATTGTAACTCGGAGGGGTGGTTCTTCCAGAATGGGGGATGGGGCTTGGTATAAGCAAGTTAGGTAGCCAGTGTCAGGACTGTGCTGCTTCCTGCAGGTGGCCCTGTGCTTATGCTGAGGGGTGGAGAAGGGAAATGATGCCTGCCAGTTCTTTTGTTCCTGGAACAGTCTCTGTGAATGCTGTCTCTCTGGGACACACTGAGATGAGTGAATAACCTCCTCATTGTGTGCTCCAGGTGCTCTTCAGATCACTGTTTCCATACTGTATGTCATGGCTGTTTGCCCAACCTTCTCTCCAAGGGCAGCCTCAGTGTCCTCCAGGCTCTCCCAGAGCCAAGCCCACTGACCTTTAAACTCTAGGCTTTAAGGCCTCCTGGTTGTCAAAAGTCACAAAATGTGGCCCCTCTCACTTTCTAAACCAATTGCTATGGGGATTCATTTTTCCCATGTACTCCCCTGTGTGCTAGTCTGTCTCTTGGCCTTCTCTGTGGACCGTGGCTCCCTCCCCACCACAGTAGCCATGATGTGTTTCTCTTTCAAGATGCATCTCTGCACTGCTTACCTTCTTCATTGTTGCCTCTTCTCCCCCTTTAGTTGTAGAGTTTGTTCTGCCTGTCTTCGGGTTGATTTCTGGAGTATTCAGAATATTTGATAGTTACCTAGTTGTATTCATGGGACAAGGGAAACCTAGGGTCCTCCTACTCCACCACCATCTGTCCATCCACTTCATCACACTTCTTAGATTTGCTTCATTCTCTCCATCTATAGGCTGGCCCTGTTGGCCCAATACTCTTTGTTATTCTTTATTGGGCTTCCTTCTACCAGCTTCTACTTGCCCGGGGATATCACACATAGTCCCAGCTTCATTCATCATTGGAATGAAACTTTCCAGGGCCAGTGTTGGAGAGAAGCAAAGGAACAAACATCTTGGGTGGGAATTAGCTTCTACAGATGGCTTATAATTTGAAAAGCAGTCATAATTACTCTGGAAAATCCTGTGCATTATCTATAAAATACAATGGAGTTTGTAATTTGTTGACAAACATCTCTTAGTGGACTTGATATTTATTTTGTAAATGCTGTAATGATACTGAGAGCAGAGAGATGCTTTCAGTAAGAAGCTCTGCCAGCTGAGGGGCAGTCCCAAGGCTCCCCCTCACACATGAACTGCAGAACCACCTGTATCCTGTCTCTATGCCTCTTACTCTGCTCTTAAGTCTGTGTTCTTCTCATGCCCCTGCTCTTTTGTTGTATTTAGTGCAGTCCATAATGTACACTCACAAGTGCTGGGGCTCCATGTGTACATAGTCAGTATTTAGCAAGCAACATTTTGACCATAGCACTTTGCAGGCTAGTAGCCTGAAATGTTTGTTATGGTAGTGCTTATGATCTAGCACCTGCATTTGTGATCGGCAAATGAATACCTGCCCTTCAAGGCCCCTACTCCACAACCCCACCTAGTCACCCATATGTTATTACATTCCACTGGTGAAGTAAAAAAATTTTGTTTCTAGCCCTCCAATTTTAAAATCATCTTTTCAAATCTAAAAGTCTTGGCTCCCCTGGTTAAATCATGCACTCCTTTCCTTTAAAACACTGCTTTAAAATAACATTCTAGGAATAACCTTGTGTCATTCAGTCATTCCAGTAATTCAAGCAGTATTTACATACTTCCTCATTTGTTATGCATGCCATATGTGTATGTATATTCCTGGAAGCATAGATGCATATTATATGCTTGTTTTCAGTGTTTCATAGCTTTTCTCTTTTTCTTGCCCATCCCCCGCCCACCCCCCACACACTTTTGCTCGATCTGACTCTCCCATTAAATAATAAACTCCTTGCAGTAGAGACAGTGTCTTCTGCTTCATCTCACATTCTTCATGGTACCTTATTATTCATCTTTGTGTATCCGAGCAATATCTTAAGCTATAGGCATTCTCCATTTTTCTAACTGAGAAGTAAAAGCCAATGGTCTTTGTTTTTCAGGTTCCATTTCTACAGCAGATCAGATGATATCATGCATGTTTGGAAATGTTGAGCCAGCTGAACATCTTCAATAATTTGTAACATGATCCTGGGCCATGGTTCAGATAAACATCAGTCATTATGGAAAACCATTCCACTCATCCACGGCTCAAGACAGAAAATACAAGGAGAATAATTGAAAATTCACTTGGGCTGGACCAATTGTACAATTTACGAATATCCTTGGTTTTCAAATGGCTGTCTTTCACTTTTTCTCTAAACTTCTGCTTGGGATTTTTTAAATAGTTTTGTTAAATATCTCTGGAGCTAAGGCCCTAATTCTTTGGTGACATCTTGCTGTCATTTTTTTTTTTATGTCCATTTGGACAAACTACTCAAGAGAATGAACCATACCACCAGTGTGGCTGCCAGCTATGGTTTTTATGTGACGAGGTGGAAGCTTTTGACAATGATGCTGAGTTGACGTATAATGCATCTAGTTTTCTGTAGTTCCAAATGCTTCCAAATGGCAATCAGGTGGGACAAATTCTAATGGCCAATTTTTTTGAAAGATTTTATTTATTTATTTACAGAGGGAGACACAGCGAGAGAGGGAACACAAGCAGAGGGAGTGGGAGAGGGAGAAGCAGGCTTCCTGCTGAGCAGGGAGCCTGATGCAGGGCTCGATCCTGGGACCCTGAGATCATGACCTGAGCCGAAAGCAGACACGTAATGATTGAGCCACCCAGGTGCCCCTAATGGCCAATTTTTAAAAAAGAATACACTTTCTTACGTCTGGAAGTTACTTTTACTTGGAGCCAAGATGGTGCTATTTTAGGAAAATTATGCCTGACTTTATCTGAGCTTAAGAAAAAAAAAAAAAAAAAGAGCACTGAATCACTCAGTAGGATGTTTACTTTTGCCAGAAGACTTAACTGACATTCAAGAAGCGATCCCAGTTTGCAGGTAATAGGCATGATTTCTGTGGCCTGCTGCATGCACTGCAGTGCTCCAGCACTTCAAGAATTACACTCAACAGCGAGAATCCACCAAGAAATGCTATCTTTTTCCTTTTTCTTCTTTACTCTGGGATGCAAAAGTTATACAAATTATTCATTTTTGATCTGACTAAAAATAATAAGGAAAAGAAGCAAATGTGAACCAAGAATGAGGAAAAACAGGACCATGTTCCTAAAAGTTAAATTGACAAGGGAAGGAAAATAGTACCCAAGGAAGCAATGGCAAGATAGCCCCAAACTGGATGGTGTGAACCTGAAAACTGTCTGATTTGAACCAACCCAGAAGTAATTCCTCTTGGATCTAAGAATATTGACATTGGAATGACCTAAGGAAAATTATGTCTTAATAGTTGTTCTTGAAATGACAGTCCTGAGCCCTGAAGGGTGTTGGTAATTTACAACCTCTGTCCTGCTGACATCCATTGGCCCCATCAGAACACACCGAGGGCCACCACCTCAATGGCGAAGCTGGTGCCGGGGCATCTCACAGGCCCTGGGCTGCAGGCTTCCCACCAGAGAGGGTGGAAGGTTAGGAGGGAAGCAGTGAAGCACAGGGAAGTCATGTTGGTGTGGTTTGCCAATGTAGAATGTGGGAGAGGCAGGAAATCACCCTGCTTCCAGAACATGTGATCGTGGCAAGATCGAGGGGGTAGGGGGATGAAGGCCTGATGAATAAGGGAGCTTGCAGTTGGGGGGATTTTTGTCCCCACCCTGAGCAGCAGTCTCCCACCTTCCTGCTTTCTGAGAATGTGTGTTCTCAGGCCTGTGACCTGCTGGACCTGGGCCCTTCCTGCAGCCTTCTGAGAGCTGCCTGGGCTGGTGGGTGAGTGGGCACTGTGTGCAGAGGGGAGGTCAGAAGGCACTTTGTGCCAGAGAGTGGGTGTGCTGGGGGAGGTGGCTTTCTTCTGACCCCCAGGGGACGTTCTGAGTGCCCTTCCCTGAATGTAAAGGAGAGGAAGTCTGGGTTTCGTGTCTGGATTCTAATGCTCTTCCTTCTGAGAAGGCTGGGCGGCCCTGGCCTGGTGACTGACCTCTGTGGAAGAATGGTGGGGACTGAATACCATGCCCAGGGCACGGGTCCCAGCTGCTGGGAGGAAACCTTTCTCTCCTCTTTCTTCACTAGATGGATTCTCAGGACTGGAGACTGATACCGCAATACCCACGGAAGAGGCGTACGTTATCTATGACGAAGGTACCAGCTGATTTTACACGGTTTGGATTTGGACAGTTTCTCTCACTTTAATTACTAGGTGGATGATCTCAATTTTCCGAGTTTCCCTCAGAGCTCTGGGCTGCATGGCAGTGCTGAAGGAAGGTGGTTGTACGCCAGCTTCCAAGTTAGTGCCCAGTACATATTTGATCCGAGGGAAAAGAGGGGGCTTCCTATGTGAATACAGCCTCCAGACAAGCCTCTGCGCCCCCCATTCTCTCCCCGCCCCCCAGAACTCTGGAGCTGCTTGTCTGGGCCTCCACTTCCACTGCCATTTGTGAACAGGCTTGGTTCAACCCACAACTCCACTTCCTCTGTTGGCTCCTCTCATTGTTCTCTTTTCTCTCCTTTTCTAATTATGTAAGAAAATGCAGTGCTATGGGGGCTCCTGGATGGCTCAGTCAGTTGAGCATCCAACTCTTCATTTGGGCTCAGGTCATGATCTCTGGGTTTTGAGATTGAGCCCCGCCTCAGGCTCCGCACTGGGCGTGGAGCCTGCTTGAGATTCTCTCTCTCTCCCTCTGCCCCTCCCCCTGTACCCCACCACCACCCTTACCTGCTGGTGCGCATGCCCATGTTCTCTCACTTTCTCTCTAAAAAAAAAAAAAAAGAAAGAAAGAAAGAAAGAAATGCAGTGCTATGTAAGTGTTTTTATCATAGAATCTTTTCAAGCAGGAATAAGCTTATAAGATTAAGAATGCAATATGCTGGGGTGCCTGGGTGGCTCAGTCATTAAGCGTCTGCCTTCAGCTCAGGTCATGGTCCCAGGGTCCTGGGGTCGAGCCCTACATCGGGCTTCCTGCTCCGCGGGAAGCCTGCTTCTCCCTCTCCCACTTTCCCTGCTTGTGTTCCCTCTCTCACTGTTTCCCTCTGTCAAATAAATTTTAAATATCTTAAAAAAAAAAAAAAAAAAGAATGCAATATGCCTTAGGTAGAATCTGGAGCCACGCTGTGATGGTTCTGTGGGTTTTATAAATTGCCTCTGCAGTTTTCCTGGGGGCATCTTGTCCCCACCGCAGGGCTGGTCTCTGATACTCAGGATATTCTCCCTTTTGTGCTTCCTTTCTGCTGTTACCTGCAGCTCCAGTGTCCTCAAAACACCGATGTGAGAATAATGTCACCTTTGATGCAGTGACAGTGAAGTTCGATAAATTGGTTTCATCCCACAGTTTAAGAAAAACCTGACTTAAAAGAAAAACAACAGATGTCAGAAGAAAAAGAAAAGTTTCTTAGCACCTTTGAAAATATAAGCTCCTTTCTTATTTTCTTACTATCTTTGAGCGGTTGAAAGGGAGCAGAGTCTTCTTTTTTAAATGTTAAGGGTTAGTTTTTTTAATAGGATTCATCCCACCCCCTCCCCAGAAAAGAAGCCCATACACAGAAGGTAAATGTTTTTAAAAAATCAAGTTTATTTTCTGATGTGAATCTTTTATGGCTCTAAAGGAGAAAATTAGGCAGAGCCTGTCAGTAACAGGAACATGCAAAACTGGATAAATTCTAAGGTTCTGTCCAGCTCTGATTGTAAGATCTCATTTTTCTGCTCATATGTGTTTCCTTTTCCTCTTCCTTTCTTTTTTCTGCAGCTGCTTTCCTGAAGGGACTGAGGTAGGAGGAATACTGTTTCATTGGGACCAAATTACATTCAAGCACAGCATTTATTTTGGCTGTGTGTGTGTGTGTGTGTGCGCGCTTTAATCTTGGGTTGAATGTTGGCCGTACATGGTGCCCCCTTTCTGGAAGGGCCCAGTGCAAAGCCTTCATATCATTTCAGATTATGAATCTGAGACCTCGAGGCCACCAGCTACCACCAGGCCCTCCACTACAGCTGCGGTGTCTGAGGTCATCCCGCCAGAAGGTGCCATTAGCTCCTTTCCTGAAGAAGAGTTGGATCTGGCTGGAAAGAAACGATTTGTTGGTAAATAGAACTTCCTTAATTGGAGAAACGTGGGTTTTTAACTTTTTTCTTTGAGGAAGAGCGTAACTAATTTCTTGGCCTGGCTGAGGCAGCGCATTGGAGCAGAAGTTTTCCCGGAGCGAAGTTTCCATGTGGAGTGACTCTGAGTCAGTCCTGCTTGAAGACACATTAGCTTGCTTTCTGCAGGAGTCAGCGGAGGGGGTTGTGCGGGAGACCGTTTGGTATCCAACCAAACAGAGCTTTGAGAGGCCGCCTCGTATAGACCAAGGGTAAGGAACACTTGCAAACGTCTTCAGGACCAGAGAACATGACTGTTTTTGTTTTAGCAACTTTTCCAAGATGGGGCTTCCTTCCACTGAGACTCACCCATACATTGTTAAGTTCTTCCTCAAAGATGAGCAGTTTACCGAATTGAGCTGCTGGTGCTTCTTATGGTCCCACAGAACCAGAGCTGGGTTCTTCCATTGTTTCCTGTAATTTTCATTAGCCTCGGGGACTGGGGATCCTAGAATTTTACTTGACTCTTCTTTCTCAGTTATTAAACAATTTCAAGAGGAAATTCTACTTCGCTAAACTGTGCTTCACTCCCTTTGGGAGTCTTCTTTTCCCATGCCCTTAATGAACTTCACTAACGAGACCGTTAGATTAGTATTATGGAGTGGAAAAAAATATTACCAAGTGGAGACAGGCGAAAGCTTAAACTAATATAACACTTTTCTGTTTCCAAAACAAATGTTCTGCCATAAGCAGAGAACAGCGCTTGCCAGCCGAGATGTCGTATTGAGTGTCTAAATCTCATGTGCTTGAAGAACAAGAATATTAATTTGAGGTAGCATTCCTGAGGCAAGCGCTAATGCTGGCCCCTGGCATTAAGCAGGCTGGCTGAATTTGCTGAATGTTCTGGTTGTCCTCTCTGTGGCTCCCTGACAGGAATGAAAATGCTTTCATCACTATCGTTTGCTGTTCCACAGAACTCTTCTCAAGATTGAAAGGCTTACTATTGTCCGGCTATTTTCCTATGTCTGTAACTCTACAAAGCATAGTAGATTACTCTCCAGAACTTCCTGATTAGATCCATCGACAGGCTCTCAAGGCCTCGTTTTATACAAATTATTGGAAAATAGAGAGTCTAAAAATTGCTTTTAGTCCCACCAAGAATGAGAACCTGTACCAAAAGATGCAATGGAATATTTAGAAAGTAATAGAAATTGTTACTTGAAAGCACTTGAGAATCTTGCATGTATGAGGCCCCAGCTCCAATTCCTTGACATTTCTATTTTCTTACAGAGCATATATAATAAAGAGGTGTGGGCTGGAGGTAGAGTTTCCTGTTTGACCTGAGCTTCATGGGCCCTCTCAGCATCAGTAGGCTCAGCTGGAACATGGGATATCAGTCCATGTCCTGCTTTATTCCCAGGGCTCGTATCCACTGAGATAATGTGTATAGAAAACCTTGAACCTGTCTGTAAATGTGAGTAGCTGTATTGTACTTAGCAGTAATGTTGTAAAGGCTGTTCAGGCCTGGCCTTGTGTAAATATCCCTGATGGTTATGGGTATCTCTGAAGCTCTAGGGAAGGCCACCCAGGACTGAAGGCTAGAAGTTGTATATCCTGATCGGGGTATTTTTTTTTTTCTGGTTCCAAGACAGTCTAAGGAGTGAATGGTGCCGAGAGAGCTCTAGTTAAGTGTCAGCTAGGCCCGATTCATACCTTTCCAAATGTCTGGGCATACAAATGGCAGAATGCCACAGACTTATACTACATTGAATTATAGTTTGGGGGTCTTTCAAAATTACTTTGAAGACATAGTCATTGATGTTGATGGGGCAACAGGATCTTTTGAAACTACTAGATTGGAAGATGTGTGGATCCATTAACGAGAGCTAAGGATGTGTTTCTGGGTTTAGCATCGGGCTGATGGCACTGGAGCCTCTGTCTAGCAGGGAAAGACTGAATGGTAGGTCTGCTCCATGGAGTAGACATTATGTTTTTGCCTCTAGAGAAAGCTTTAACAATACAATTGGCTGTCTGTCTTCTTTTCCAGCTCCTTATGTGACATACCTGAGTAAAGACCCATCAGCCCCATGTTCTCTGACTGATGCTCTGGATCACTTTCAAGTGGATAGCCTGGATGAAATCATTCCAAATGACATGAGGAAGAGTGACCTGCCTCCTCAGCATCCCCCCCGCAACATCACTGTGGTCGCTATGGAAGGCTGCCACTCATTTGTCATTGTAGACTGGGACAAAGCCACCCCAGGAGATGTGGTAACAGGTGTGTCCAAGGCAGATGCTCAGAGTTCTCTTTGATCTGTAGGTGGAAAATATCGGTCCCAGGATGTCTCCAAAGCATCTCAGACTCAGCATATCCAAAATCAAACTCATGACTCTTCTGATTCCCAAACCTGCTCATCTGCATTTCCTATCTCAGAGAATGACCGCACTCCCCAACTCATTTCTGTAAGCATGGGATTGTCTTCAAATCTTCTTTAATTTCCCCCACCATATTTAATTCATCACTGAATCCTATCAATTTTACCTTCCAGGTTTCTCATGAACCCATCCATTTCTCTCCATTAACTACCAAGTTAACTTGGGCTGTTGCCACCTGTCATTTGGATATTACAGTAGCCGGCTGGCTGGGCCACCTGATCCACACACCCCCATGCCTGACCCATTTCACACTGCACCAGAAGGAGGCATTGAAGGCAGTCTGATTGTGCCACCCTGTAATGTTTTTCCCTTTCTTTTAGAATGAAAAGCAAAAACCTGCATGACCTAAGGGCACTGAATATTTTCTCTGCTCCGTGCTTCTTTAGCTTCATCTCATGCTTTAACGTCTCTCTAAGACTCAGTTTTCTCATGTGTCAAAATGGGGATAGTGATGCTTACATACTAGGAGCAGGAGAATTAATCAAAATAAAACTTGGTTGAATGTGTTTGGAATGTTTGGCTCATGGGAAATACCTGACGGATGTTCTCTTCCTTTGTGTATAACATAGGAGACTGTAGAGGATACGCTGAGCCATGACTTCACTTGGCCTTCTGAGGCCTCCTTGAAGGCTGGGCAGGTGTCAGGGCCCACTGGGGTCCATTCCTAGCAGAAAAGGCAGAAGGAGTTGCCTGACTACTGTCCCTAGACATCGAGGTCAAGGGCAGGCACAGATCTTCAACAACTAGCAATCAAAGGAGAGCCTTCACCAACTGGGTGAAGAGACCACTGCGAGTCTGGGGTCTTTCAGTCCCACACACGTGTGCAAGTGCATGCACGTGCACACACATACACACGCACAGCACTCACCATCAACAGTTTTGTTGTTTCATGTAAGGACAGTTGTATATATCTCTGCCAGGAAATTCTTAAATACTTGTGTGGAGGTCACTGCTTTTTCTTCTGCCGCCTTTTACTCTGTGCTGTCAAGGTTGGTCAAGGTGATTAGTTCTGAGGAAATGTGGGAGATAAAGAGAAGGAAGAGAAGGTAGGGAACCAGTAGTTGTCAAGAAGTGTGTTTAATTTTGTTATCCACACCTGAATTCACAAGAAGGTACCAATGTTATACCCAGACACAACATGCAGCTTGGTCCTGTTCTTGAACTTTTCCCTCAGATGGCAATGCCTCTGGGCCATGGCCTCCTCCCCATCCTCCTCCATCGGGCATGCCTCTTGGGTGATGTGGTTCCTTGATGCTCAGTGGGTCCTTCTCTATCTCCTCTTGCAGGTTACCTGGTTTACAGTGCATCCTATGAAGACTTCATTAGGAACAAGTGGTCCACTCAAGCTTCCTCAGTAACTCATTTGCCCATTGAGAACCTGAAGCCAAACACAAGGTATGATGTGTCAGTCATTAAAGAGAGAGAGAGAGAGAGAGAAACCTGTGTGTGTGGTCACAGATATCCTCAGGTTGAAAGTGAAAAGATCAATGAAAAGGTTTTATGATTTCTTTTGTAGTCTCTGTTTACTTTTCATAGAATATCAGTGAATACCCACCATGTGTCATTATATTTCTCTTAGAGGAAATTACTGTTTCTAGTATAGTTGTTAGTCTATTGTGTTTATATTTTGTTACCAATGTTCCAGAGACTAAACGGTACCTGCCTCTGGGGAAAGAAAGGTTGTTCTGTTTGTTGAAAGGGACTTGGATCCATGTGCAGGCACCCAGGTGGTGGCATTAGGCAGCACAACCTTCATATGTGACATTAATGGGGCAGCAATTGCTAAACATATTAGTTAACTGGTACTCACATTCTATGATGTGGAAGTTCAGACCATTTAGAAGGATGCATTTTACACATTGATAAGGTTATAAACATGTCTTGCTAAGCTGGGCGGTGCTTGGCTGGCCAGAGGCCTATCTGGGAGCCAGAGTTTGTGATGCTTCGTGTGAAATCTACAAAACTTGTTCCCACGGTTACAAAGAGAGTGAGTGTGCATTTCCTCTTTCACGCTATCTGGTTTTGATAGTAATGATCATCAGGAAAGCTTTCCGGTGAAAATGGGCAAAGCACGTGAGGGTCAAGCATGGTGTGCGTGTAAACCAGCTCTCTGGAGAAAAAAAAAAAGTCCCTGGTTTATGGTGCTTACCATTTTCTGTAGTGTGAGCATTCCCACCATGGCCAATTCCAGCCTTCCAGGGGGCCTGCTGGATTCTTGAATGATTGTCTCTTTCATGCTCGTGCAAATGAGTGCAGCACCCCCAAGGTCACATCAAGCCCCATATTTATGGAGCAAAGAGCTCTAAATGGTGTGTCTGTGGCCTGACTCTTATTTCCTGTATAGCTGGAGGAACATGGAGAAGGTTGAAACAAAATACTCTCCTTAAACAGAAATGTGCCGAAAGGGCATAGAAATTAGTTAATAGCCCTGGGTACTTCTGAACTAGCTGAGAACTTTCCTCAGGGCATTGGAGGTTCCATGTGGGCTCATCTGAGCTAAATGTTCACAAACTATTATCAATTTGAGGATTTGGCAAATAAAAAGCAAGGAGCGAAACAGGAAACTGAGAAAGCACTTTTCTTTATGTTTCCCTAATTGTGAGGAAAGATGGATTAATTAAAGCAAACAAAAACAACACATTTAAGACAGTGGAGTCGACACCCAGTTTTCTTTACTGTGTGCAGAGTGACGGTACTTCCCCAGCACAGCCTCAGCATCCCAAAGCTGAAAGAGGCACAGGAGAGGTTTTGCTGCATGGCTCCTTGTAGTGGAACTTGAATCCCTGTCTCCTGACCACCCCCCCCACCCTTCTGGCCAATGTTCTTTCTACAACTTTTGCTGCCAGGCTGATCTTGAGTTTTGAGTGTCAGGAGATGGTTATATAAGATGAAGGTGTGTATTCATTCTTTCAGCAGGTATGAAGGAGTGCCCCTAATTCCTTCTATAAGTACTTGGTGTTTGCTCTGCACCAGGCACTAGGTTATGCACTGAGGGTAGAATGGGGGTTTGGAGCAAGAGTGGGTCGATGTGGTCGGGGAGGTGGACTATAAAATACAGAGGAACTGTCCTCACAGAGCTCACAGTTTGGTAGAGACAGCTTGTTTAGCAAAAGCATAAATACAATCACCAATCCATACCCTGAGGGAGACCTTTTTCCTGAGCTTGTGGGGAGGGGTGGGGTAGTCAGGTGAGCTTCCCTGGGGAAATAGATAAGCAGCTGTGAACTTGAAGAAGGTGGGTGGGGTGAGGCCAAGTTGTTCTGGGCAGAAAGGATATCTAACAGCATGGTGTGTTCTAGGAAGGAAAGGAGGCCAGGATGGTGGGAGCCTGGACAGGCTGGTCCCAGAGGGCCTTGGGAGTCCCTTGTGGCTTCTCTCCTACCCTCCACCTACATTTAGTGCCCTGATAGCCAGGCTGGAAACAGCAGGTGCTACTCTAGCCTTTTCTCTGGGATGCCTGTCGATTATTCCTGCTTCTGATGGAGGGCGCTGACGGGGGCACAGAACACTTGGGGCTCCTCTACACAGATTTCCTCAAAACCCCTGTCAACAGCCTGGTGGAAGGGTGCTCATTGTTTCCCTGCTTTACACTGATACAGAGCATCTCCGGAGGGCCCACATTAGTGGTCCAGGTCCTTCTCCCACAGAGGCTGTGTGTCCCTGTTGTTAGCACCGTCCTCGGGGCTTCTCAGGAACCTACCTCCAAGTGTCTGTGGGAGACACAAGAAGTCAGTCCCCTCAAGATGAACCAGAATGTCAGACACCAGCTTTGGTTCTTTATAACTCAATCTTGTGTTTGACTTTACATGGACATGGCCCACCTTGTTCACCCAACTCAGTCCCAGACCACTTTCTGGAATCTGCATATTTCATCCATACTTCAAAGCACAAAGATTGAGACTGTGGGGGGTTATTCAAAAGAAGGTGCAAGAGCTTATGTGAGAAGGAAAGGCATGGATTGCTCTTGTTACTTGGGTGAGGCAGATACTATTCAGAGTATGGCATCTGTATTTTAGTTTCTAGAAGAAGTTTAATGTGGTTTGGAAAATGAGAACCTTACTTTCCCCCATCATTTCGTGTTTTTCAGCTTCATGTATTTAAATTTGCTTTGACACATTAGGTGAGGTTCAAATGGAATTATGTCTTTGGAATTGGATCGTGTGGGCTTCGTTGGAGGACAGAGGAACTCCAACGGTCTCCCTCAGGGTATGGATTGGTGATTATATTTATGCTTTTGCTAAACAAGGTGTCTCTACCAAACTGTGAGCTCTGTGAGGACAGTTCCTCTGTATTTTATAGCCCACCTCCCTGACCACGTCCACCCACTCCTGCTCCGAACCCCCGTTCTACCCTCAGTGCATAACCTGGTGCCTGGTGCAGAGCAAACACCAAGTACATATAGAAGGAATTGGGGGCACTCCTTCATACCTGCTGAAAGAATGAATACACCTTCATCTTACGTAACCATCTCCTGACATTCAAAACTCAAGATCTCTGTGTGAACAGAGAAAGTAGATGAGGAGGAACACTTGGGTTTCAGTGGGGAGACAGAATTGATACAGCGAAGGAATCAGACAGGTCGGGCATCCTGTACCCTCTCCACAATTGTAGAGCCGTGATTCCCTCTGTGGACCTTGGGAACTGGTGTCAGGACCAGTTGAGCAATGGCTTAAGAAATGCTCAGCAGAAACGTCTCATGCAGCCTCTGAGGATGTATCATTCCTTAGGTTTTGATTTCCCTTTTTAAGGGAAAAAAAAAAAGTATCTGTAAAGTTTGACCAGTATCATTGATGTATGCCAAGCCCACTGCCTGCAGAATTTTGCCTTAAATAACTCCATAACCACTGAATAAAAGTATGCATAATTGGGAAAACACGGACTGCTGAGCGAATTATTTGGAAACGCCTATGTTCTTAATTGTGCGTATCTTTTTTAAAAATGCAGTTTAAAAAGGATTCTCTTCTAAATGAGATGTGAATGACTCTTGAAAGGATGAAAAGAAGACTAAATTTACCAAATTTCTTTGCTCTCTGTTTAATCAAACCCAAAGTCAAATATTTCCGTGTAACTGTGAAGCCTGAGGCTCCCTTGGGTGATCTCAGGAGCTCCGGAGGCTTGGCCCCAGGACAGTGGTGTAACAGACATATGCCTTTGCTCTCCGAATAAATAATCCACCTTTTTGAAAATTTAGTGCATTTTAATTAGTGCATAGAACCTGTGTGCCAAGACTGACATAGGAAAAGACTTGTTAGGAGCTCTCTGAAATGGCAGAGAGCCACCCCTGACAGGGGTTTCTTACCCTCTTCTTCACCTGTGAGTAGCTCAGGGCTTTGAGAGCATAGATAATGTCCGGTGTCCCAGAGGTAAAGGTAAAATCTTCGTGTTTAACGAAGATTAACCGTGCATATACTGGGTCCCAGCTGCGGTGTTGGTCTCTAATATTACTTAACCACCCCTTTTGTCCTGTATCTCATAAGAGCACAGAGCAAGATGTCTGGGGACTCCCCACCCACTCAGCCTCTCAGTCTCCCTCTAGACAAACAAGTACATTCTCTGTTCCAAGACAAGGATAAATCTTGACAGCAAAACCTCTCCTGGTCTTTTCCACTTCCCCTTCTTGGACTTGCTTCTCTTTCCTGGAGGCACAGAAGCTCGAAACTCAGTGACTTTTAAAGCTCCAGAGCCAACCATAGCACTTGTCATGCGCCCAAGACATCATTGTCATGTTCATTTCACTGAGGAGGCCAACCTCGGGACTGGCTCGCCTTCCTTCCGCCAACAATGAGTTGCATCATTACTGGGTCAAACAGCCTGCTTTTTCATACGGAGTCCAGTGATAAGAATTAGGTTAAGTTTGAATTTTGCTCTGTAAGTGTTTTGCTGCTCCAGTTTCTCCCGCTTGAGCTGTGGAACTCTGGTGGGATGAGAGCAGGACGAGAGAGGCATCCATCCACATGGGGCCACGCAGCCGTGATGCCCTAAGGAACATACGCTCTCTACGTGACTTCTTTGCCCAATATGCTCCTTCTGATGCCATCAGCCACGTGAGTCAATGCTGTGAATTGTATTATTTTGAAAAGTTATTGGAAAATGCGGAAGTTCAGAAAAAAATATGAATAGCAGCGATGTATGCATTTGTTACAAAATAACACTCAAACCCTGCCACAGAGTAAGTGCTCAATAGTTTGGGAATCTGTCTTATTATACAGAAATTAAACAAGCTTCTCTTTCAAAAAAATGTTTTCTTCCAATTTCAGGTATTATTTTAAAGTTCAAGCCAAAAATCCACATGGCTACGGACCCATCAGCCCTTCGGTCTCATTTGTTACAGAATCAGGTATCTGCGGGTTCACATTCTCATTTTTTGCCTTTTCTCAAAGACAAATAATTTGGAATCATGACTACAATAGAATAAAAACTGAAGAAGTAAAGTCCTTATTTTTCTATTTAGTGAGTTCATATTGGATATCACTTTATAAAATAAATATCATTTTCTTTGTGCTGTGTTAAAATCTGGATAATAAAATTTAAAAAGTAATCTTCATTGGAGCTGCCTGGGAAGTGGAAAGGTCACATTCCAATGAAAGGAAAAAATCTAGTTTTCAACCATGTGGGAAAGATAAGTTTGAATCTCTCTGTAAAAGATTTAGTTGCAGAGCTAATTTTTTTTATTAAAAACAGCTGAAGAGCATAAATGCCATGTGGCCTCAGAGGTATTTGCTTCTTCCAATTAGTCAGGTCTCCAAGATGGTTCTTTCACTAGGAGACAAAGATGTCCTAATACGGAGAGTTTAATTGGAATATTACCCAATCTTACAAGCAGTGTTACTCGGAGGATGGCCCTGCTCTGGGGGATGCTGGTATACAGAGCTCTCCAGCCCTCTGTAAGATGTTCCTGTGGTCGTGGTCTGACCAGTGTGCCCAGAGCTGGCCATGGGGACAGTCCTGGGTGAACAGCCTTTCCACACAGGAAACCACACTGGGAGCTGGTCCCTATGCCTCTAAGCCAAGCCACCTTCAGAGGTCGGGCTGAACCAGCTGTGCACTAACCTTGCTCTACCTTCTATTTGGTTAGATTATTTCCCACATATAGCTTGATCCCAGAATATTGATCATTGGAAGATATTTTTAAGTGTGATGCTTTGAAATCTACCGAATCACAATAAGTGGGAAAAAAAATAAAATCTTTTGTGAGAATATGCTTCATATTGGAAATGTTGGCAAAGGACCTCAAAAGTGTTTTCATTTAAAAAATGTGTTCCTCATTAGTAATTAAGAAAGTCAAAGAAAGCCATTTTCAAGGGTTAATTTGCTAAAGTAGGGGACGTGTCTATGTTCATGGCTACATTTCCTAAAAAGAGAATGGACCTTTGGCGACTATCAGAATTAACATGATAAAAGTCTGTAGAAAAAAAAAATTCAAATCTAGAAAGCTTTAAGAAATTGGCCCCAAATCTGAGAATAGAAATATAAATGTAATTTCTGAGACCGCAGTATAAATGGAAAAATACGGCTCTCTGCTATCCCCCTCCCAAGAAGAGCCTCACCATGCTCCCACCTTATCCTTTTGTGGCCTCCAAAGGGTGAGTGACAGCATTCCAGGGCCCCCCCCATGCAGACCTCTTTTACCATCAGCTCCCTGGAGATCCTCATGCATCTGACAATTGACAGTTGTCAAAAGTTGACAATTCGACAATTACTTGAAATTTGACAATTATTTGCTCTGGCCATCTTCATTTTATTCAGTCAGTTTGTTCAAGTTTCTCCTGCACTTTTCACAACCCTGCTGTTGAGCAACAGGAAAATTATCAGGTAATTGCCAAACATAAAAATACACGAAGTAAACACATATGTCAGCACAGGCTGCAGCAAGGGGTCAGCTTTCCATGTTGTTTGTGTTGCGCTGTTGTTCTATATGTCCCCCCCCTCCCCTCCCCTCCAGCCTGGAGCATTTGAGATTGTTTCAGCGGACTATTGAAACTTAAGAGTAGGAGAGCAAAATGAGCATTTACACTTACAGCTAACAGTAGGTCGCTCTTCTGTGGGAATGAGTGAATGGTCTGTACAAAGGAGCAGCTCAAGGGAGATTTGGGGTGATGGAAATATTCTGTATCCTGATTGTAGTAGGGTTCCGTGAATCAGTGCATGTGTTGAAACTCACAGGATATTTACCATAAAAGAGTAGTTTTACTCCATGATAATTTTTCAAAAAAAAAAAAGGAGAATTATTTTATAAAAATGAACTTTTTCTAAAACAGAATTCCTTAAAAGCTAGTTCCATATTTTCTTTTTTTTAAAAGATTTATTTATTTTTAAATTTTATTATGTTAGTCACCATACAGTTCATCATTGAGCTTTTGATGTGGTGATCCATGATTCATTGTTTTCGTGTAACACCCAGTGCTCCATGCAGTACGTGCCCTCCTTTTTTTTTCTTCTTTAAGTGGAATGGTTTTTGGGTGTTTTTTTTTTTAATTTTTATTATGTTATGTTAGTCACCATACAATACATCATTAGTTTTTGGTGTAGTGATCCACGATCCATTGTTTTCGTATAACACCCAGTACTCCATGCAGTACGTGCCCTCCTTAATACCCATCATCGGGCTAACCCATCCACCTTCCCCCCTCTCTAAAACCCTGTTTGTTTCCCAGAGTCCATAGTCTTTCATGGTTCATCTCTCCCTCCAATTCCCCCCCCCCCACCATTTTTCCTTCCTTCTCCTAATGTCCTCCATGCTATTCCTTATGTTCCACAAATAAGTGAAACCATATGATAATTGACTTTCTCTGCTTGACTTATTTCCTTTAGCATAATCTCCTCCAGTCCCATCCATGTGGATGTAAAAGTTGGGTATTCATCTTTTCTGATGGCTGAGTAATATTCCATTGTATATATGGACCACATCTTTATCCATTCATCTGTTGAAGGGCATCTCAGCTCTTTCCACAGTTTGGCTATTGTGGACATTGCTGCTATGAACATTGGGGTGCATGTGGCCCTTCTTTTCTCTACATCTGTGTCTTTGGGGTAAATACCCAGGAGTGCAATTGCTGGGTCATAGGGTAGCTCTGTTTTTAAATTTTTGAGGAACCTCCACACTGTTTATTTTTAGAGAGAGAAAGAGAGTTGGGGGTAGGGGCGGAAGAAGAGGGAGGGAGAGAATCTCAAGCAGACTCCTCGCTGAGCGTGGAGCCCAACTCGGGGCTTGATCTCACAACCCTGAGATCACGACCTGAGCTGAAACCAAGAGTCAGATGTTTCACCAACTCTGCCACCCAGGTGCTGCCATATTTTCTTAAGTGGCATTACTTGGGCTAAGATATAGATGTTTTACATACAGCTTTATTGAGATGCAAGTGGCATACAGTAAGCTGCATGTAAGTGTACAACTCAGTGGGTTTTAAAGTATGTTTACCGCCTTGAATCCATCGCCACAATCACACTGGTGAACATCGTTGTTACCCCTACATGCTCACTGCTGCTATGCAACCCAGCTCCCCTGTCCCCCCATGTGGGCATCTTTTCCCCTGTTAACAGGGAACTACTCATCTGCTGTCTGTCACTTTAGATTTGTTTGTACTTTCTAGAATTTTATATAAATGAAATCATACAGTCTGAACTCTTTTGTCTGGCTTCTTTCCCTCAGCAAAATCATTTTGAGATCCATCCATCTTTTGTACTTAGCAGTATTTCATCAGATGGCTGTGCCATAACTTACCCATTCACTTATTCATAGACATTTGAGCTGCTTCTACTTTTTGGCTATGACAAATAAAACTGCTATGAACATTCATGTATAAGTGTTTGCATGGACATGTGTTTTAATGCCTCGTGGGTAAATACTTAGGAGTGGAATGGATAGATCATAGAGTAGATATATGTTTACCTTTTTAAGAAACCACCAAACTGTTTTCTCAAGATAGACACATCTTTTAAAAATGACGAGTATTGAATTATTCTGTCATACCCCAAATCAAAGTCTTACTATATTGACCCACAATTTCTGTACAAATATCAAGGCAGTTTAGCTAGAAAAGGATATTTTTCAAAAGGAAATGCTTAGAAAATAAAAACTAAGGAAAACTTTGGCATTGCTTGAATAAACTATGTTTGTATCTATTCCAGGGAGCTCATTGGTTAGCTCTCTCTGCCACGATAAACATTTCAACAATTGCATGGTTGTGAAATAGGATAGTGAAGTCAATTATTTCTTTCTCATTTTACAGACAATCCTCTGCTTGTTGTGAGGCCACCAGGTAAGTTTCTCTTCTTGACAAACTTGACATTCTAGTAATCAAGTTGGATAGTGAATATGAGATTGCTATGATTGCTCACAAGTAGAAATGCTAGACCATTTTTGCATTTTATGATTTTCTGATAACTTCTTTGGTTTCCTTGCCCCCTTTATCCTGATCTAGGGAAAAGAATGGTCTGGAAATTTTTTTTATAGGACCCTAGCAGCCAATATCTGTAAAAGAAAACATTATGGGGTGGCCAATATCTATAAAATAGATAACTTTATTTACTTAATCCCTTTAAATATTTTAAATGGCTGAAAAGGTAGCAAAATGCATTAAATGTACAACAAATTTTTACTTTGTTTTCAAACAAATTGTGAAAGCCCTATTAAGTTCAAGACAGGTTTTGGGAGGGATGAGAACAGTGAGAGTCTATGCTGAGGGACTTCTGGAGGGGGCAGGTAGGATAGCATATCCCAAAAGATCAAATATGCCATTATATCTCATTTTCCTTGAAGTTTGAAGGCTTTTTCTTACTTCAGGAATCCCTTATAGAAATGCACATACTTTAAATATGTTCAGGTAAAAGGAGCTCCTCAGTTGTACTTCGGTGCCAAGAAAGAAGGGGAATGAGAGAAAGAGTGCCCACTGGGGAGGTGGGAAAAGCCCTGAGAGGAGGGAAAGGGCCAATGAATAAGTCAAATTCTCTGATACTTTGGGTGAGAATAAACATCGTGGAATCCCATGGTTGAGAGAGTGTGTCTTGTGTTGTCAAGGTGGTGAGCCCATCTGGATCCCATTTGCTTTCAAACATGACCCTAGCTACACTGACTGCCATGGCCGGCAGTATGTGAAGCGGACGTGGTATAGAAAATTCGTGGGAGTTGTTCTTTGTAATTCACTGCGGTATAAGATCTACCTTAGTGACAATCTGAAAGGTAGGTCTTTGAGAATGGTGTGGTATGAGAAGGTATGGAAATTTTTTATTTTATCAGGTACTAATTTGACATTTATCAGGTACTAACTTGACATATTTTACCAGGTACTAACTTGACATAGCAGGTGCATCAGAATGTATTTGAGCTGTGGACCCATCATATCTCACTGTGGCTTGAACACAAATCAGTTTTTCAGGCTCTACTTTGGAGTTACTAGTTTTTACTTTGACACCCAGAAATACATATCTATAATTTTTTAAAATCCACTACATTTTATTTTATTTTTTTAAAGATTTTATTTATTTATTTGACAGAGAGAGACACAGCGAGAGAGGGAACACAAGCAGGGGGAGTGAGAGAGGGAGAAGCAGGCCTCCCGCCGAGCAGGGAGCCCGATGCGGGGCTCGATCCCAGGACCCTGGGATCATGACCTGAGCCAAAGGCAGATGCTTAACGACTGAGCCACCCAGGTGCCCCAGAAATCCACTACATTTTAGAAACGAGGCCCAAAATTCTGTTAGAAATGTAAGGGCCAATTTTCTTTGCCATTAATTCAATAATATTAGGTATGAGTGTAAGCTAGAAGCACCAAGGACCCCCCCCCACTCCCGTCCTTGCCATTGCCATACCTTAATGAAGAAAAAACTTTAGATGGTGAAACATACCTCAGTATTACTTGTTCTGTGTCTGAATAAAAATTACATTGTTTTCATTATGGCAGGGGATTGAAACAAAGAATACCACAAGCATCTTGAACTACTAACATTTCAAAACGCCGTTTCTACCCAGCTGGCTTTGATTCTGCCACCTACACAAATCTGTTTTTTATTTTTAAACTTGCACACTTTTAATTTTTTAGTACATACATTTTTAAAACTTTTCCTCAGCTGCTATAGGTTTTTTTTTTCTTCCCAGTGGTGATCATTTAAAGACAATGTCAAAACAAATTCTTTCCTACCATTCTCCACTCTGGCAGTTTCTCAGTGTATATGCCTCTCCCAACACCTACTGTCTGTTTCTGCTCTTTCTTTCCTCTCCTATCATTGAGCTTGCGCTCCCCTGCATCAGAACTCCTGGCAGAAATTACACAGCCAGCTCCAGTGTCCCAGGGACGATAGAAACAACTGCCCGGGGCACCTGGGTGGCTCAGATGGTTAAGCGTCTGCCTTCGGCCCAGGTCATGATCCCAGGGTCCTGGGATCAAGCCCCACATCAGGCTCCTGGCTCAGCGGGGAGCTTGCTTCTCCCTCTCCCTTTCTCCCTGCTCATGTTCTCTCTCTCTCTCTCTCTCTGTGTCTCTTTGTCTCAAATGAATAAATAAAAAAAAAAATCTTAAAAAAAAAAAAAAGAAAGAACTGCCCTACTGTGCAGCTGTGGTTCAGGACCATGGACAGCAGCTCATGCACTGACAACACACCCTACTTCTAGTTATGTATGAAAATAGGTTCTTCTATTTTTTACAGATCTTCATGCCTTTTGTAATTATTTCATAATATATTCCTATCATAGTTTCAACTATCCCTTTTTTTAAAACCAAGGAGTAGGGGCGCCTGGGTGGCTCAGTCGTTAAGCATCTGCCTTCGGCTCAGGTCACGATCCCAGGATTGAGCCCCACATAGGCTCCCTGCTCGGTGGAAAGCCTGCTTCTCCCTCTCCCTCTCCCCCTGCTTGTGCTCCTGCTCTCGCTGTCTCTCTCTCTCTGTCAAATAAATAAAATCTTTAAAATAAATAAATAAAATAAATAAAACCAAGGAGTAAAAAGGCCTACCACTTATAAGCTGAAACTGCCTATAATATTAATAGTTTCCATTTATTGAGGACTCGTTAAGTATTTAGCATACATGATCTTGCTGAATTCTTACAACACTTTGACGTTGGTGCCATTATCACTATTTTTTCAACATGGAAAGTATGACACACCAAGTTTAAGTACCCAGTTCAAATGGTCTCCAAAGCTTGTGCAAAATCTTAAAACAGGTGTACATTTTTGACCAGTCACTAACCCATGATATTCCCTTATGCAGACTCATTCTACAGCATTGGGGACAGCTGGGGAAGAGGTGAAGATCATTGCCAGTTTGTGGATTCACACCTTGATGGAAGAACAGGGCCTCAGTCCTATGTAGAAGCTCTCCCTACCATTCAAGGTAATTCAAACGAAGGCCTGATCATACTACCCTGAGGGTTGGGAGAGGAGAGCTAATAAAAGGAGGAAGTCACTATAGCTCTCCCCTTTGTTTATCTTTTAAAGATAATTGTTGGCAGCATTTTGGATCATATAAATAAGAAACCAACAAAATATTCCAACCATGTGCTGGAATTGTGTGAACCTAGGAGAGGCAGGGATACAAAGGAATATAAGACCTGTCCTTACACTCAGAAAAATCTCTTCTCTGCTCCATTACTGGGAAGAGAAAATAGATATGTGAAAGGTAACTGGGAGTGAACAACTTAAAGTATAGATAATGATAGGAGTTATGTCACATAGTTGTCCTATTGTTAGGTAATTGTGCAGATTGTAGTCACTATCTGAGTTCGAGGAAGACAGGCTACTTGAGGCTGTCAAGAAAGAAGTGGAGTCTGGGCTGAGTCATTAAGAAACCTAGACATGCAGAGGATAGAGTCTTTTGGGCAGAGGACAACGTGAACATGGGTGCAGAGAAGGAAAGGTAAACAAACATACAAACCAACCATAGCTTATCATATACTTTAGGAGGTAACATAACAACTAGTTCATGATGGTATCACAGGGTGACAACATATACATTAATCTCAAAGGTTAACAACTTGCAGTATGCTACTAACTCCCTCAACTGCCAGAACAAAAAAATAAACAGAACAACTGAATGAAGTCCAACACTGTTTCCATTATGCACTCAACTCCTAGTGATCTGGCAATATCAAGACATGAGATGTCCTATCAACTTTTTTAATTTGGAAAAAAATTAACATAGGCTGGTAAACACAGATTACCTATTTTCAAAGAATTAAGGTAGAGTAAAATAGAACAGAAAAGTAATTGTATTAGTCAGAGTTCTCCAGAAAAACAGAACCAGAGAGAAAGAGAGATTGAGAGAGAGGTGTCTTAAGGAGTTGGCTCATATGATTATAGAGGCAGGCAAGTCCAAAATCTGCAGAGCAGGCCAGTAAGCTGGAGACCCAAGGAAGAGTCCGGGTTGCAATTTGAGTCTGAAGGCAGTCTACTGGCAGAATGCCCACTTTGTCAGGGAGGGTAATCTTTTCCTATGAGGTCCTTCAACTGATTGGATGAGGCCCACCCACATTATAGAGAGTAGCTTACTCTACTCAAAGTGTGGTGATTTAAAGGTTAATCTCATCTAAAAATATTTTTCAGAAACATCTAGAATAATATTTGACCAAATATCTGGGTACCATAGCCTAGCCCCATTGACACATAAAACTAACCATCACAATCAGTATACCAAATATACCACATTTCTTAATTTTTTCAGGATCTTGCATTGACCCAAGGTTACTATGCATGATTTATATTTTGCTGTGTTTTGTGACTGTGGTTTTGGTTCTGAGCAGAGGTGCTGCCTAGTCAGCATGCTCACTGATAGGATGGCATGTATCCTTTCATCTGGCAAGAGTAAACAGGGCCAGAGAGGAGTTGCCAAAAACTTTTTTTGAACAGGTTGGGGCCTCCCTTTTACTTTAAGGGAGACCTGCTCAAAAATGCTCTAGCATTCTTTCCTTTGAGAGATTTCCCGGAAGGATCTAAAAGCCTACCACAGACTTCAAGAATTAAACCAGGAGGCTTGAGGTTCTAGGTGACTCGCAAGGCCGTAAGTGCTGTGAGGAGCAGGTGGGGGTCTTTCTGACAGTTCTTTGCCCTGCAGGGAGTCTCCCTAGCGAGTGGCTCCAGTGGTTTTCTTTGGTGGAGAGAGAGAATTAGGGCACTAATGAACACGCTTTCCCATCTGTGTCATACACGTGTGGGGACTGGGTTATCCCCCCGAATCATGCCTGGGATAAACCCCAGGGATTATTGTGACCCCCACACATAAAAATGGTCGTGCTTATTTGGAAGTAACGTTTGTCGTAAGAACAGTTTATCAGAGGTCTTCCGTCTGAATGGAGGTTCTAGGGATGAGAATTTTTTCTGTTGGTTTGAGCGCTTTTGATGCTACAATTGTAACACCAGTTCCAAGTGTGGGTTTTCCCCCCACACCAGTAGCAATTCTTGGACACCAGCTGGGTGTCCTACAATTGAAGTCTGTTCTGACACAATGTACCCAGAGGTGGCGTCAGATCGCACAGGTTAAGGGTTCAGTCCCACAAGACTGACACCCTCCCCCGACCAACTTCAAGTGCCCGTCACAAGTCCAGAGTGCCATCTGAGCATCTGACCTCTTGGCTACATATTGGAGGTTCCTACTGCCCCCTTCTTGGGCTTGATTGATTTGCAAGAGCAGCTCACAGGACTCAGAGAAACATTTTACTCACTAGGCTACCTACCAGTTTATTATAAAAGTATACAATTTGGGGGATGCCGGATGGAAGAGATGCATAGGGCACAGTGTGGGGAAAGGACACAGAATGTCCGTGTCCTCTCTGGGAGCGCCACCCTCCCAGCATCTGCATATGTTCACCAGCCCAGAACTTTCAGAACCTGGTTCTTTTGGGTCTTTGTGGAGGTGTGATTGAATAAATCATTGTCCCTTCATGATTGAACTCAATCTCCAGCCCCTTTCCCCTCTGCAGAGGCCAGTAGGTAGGACTGAAAGTCTCACCCTCTAATCCCATGGCGGGCCTCTCTGGTGAGTAGTTCCATCCATAGATGCTTCCTGAAAGTAATCCCATCATCATAAACCCAGGTATGTTAGGAATATTGAGATACTTTTACCACTCTTATCACTTAGAAAATCCTAGGGTTTTAGGAGTTGTGTGCCAGGAACAGGGATAAAGACCAAATATAGATTTCTTATTATCAATCACAATATCACAGATGCATTTTCTTTCCCTCCCTTTCCATTTACCCTTCTAGGCTACTTCCGCCAGTATCGCCAGGAGCCGGTCAGCTTCGGCAACATTGGTTTTGGAACCCCCTACTACTACGTGGGCTGGTATGAGTGTGGGGTCTCCATTCCAGGGAAGTGGTAACCACGGGAAGATCATGCTGAGAGCTCACCCGTCCAGCCGCCTTGACTAACTTGCACTAGGGACTGTGAGCAGGAAAAGATAGTGTCCCAAGCCCCATCGACCCTGGGTGCCGGCAAGGCCACGTGATGGACACTGGACATCTCAGGCATCTCTGGTCTGGAACGCGGTCCTACTTCTTGGCCTCAACTACACACAGAATTCAATGTTGCTGTTAACTTTGCTTCTCCACATGTTTTGATTATAATAGCACCTGCCAGAGACAGCAGAAACACAGAGCTACAGGGGATGCCCACTGACTCACTGCAGTCTTCACACTTTATAGGCACAAAATTCAGACATGTCAGTGTCTCCAGGGAACAGCATAAACATGCTGGACTTGCTTCATGGAATGCTACACGCTTTCTCTTTTCTCACTGGACTCTTCTAAAAGTAGCCGAATTTAAGCTTCAGGTATCTCACTGTGCAGTAGAACTGAGTTACTAAAAACACCACCAAAGGAAATATATCCTACTTAAGATTTATCCCGTGGGTGTACCCACTGCTAGACCAAATGTATCAAATTATATTTGTAAATTCTCAATTTTGATATATATATGTATATAGGCATATACATATCCTCACTTGTCTGCAAGAACATTGATTAAAGTGGCTACATTTGTACTTGTTCACTAGATAAATGCGTGTGGGACTTTTTGGGGCAAAGGTGCTGTTAATGAACGTCTTTTGGAAGTGTCCAAAGGACCTGTGCTCTGCCTAATGAGAACAACAGAGTGAACGCTGCTCGACTCTGGGAATGATGGGGAGCTGGCAGTGACAGCAACTGAAACCAGTGACCTAGATGCAGACCGAGTGCTTTCTACCTAAAGAAACAATCTGTCCAGACCTGGGTGAAAACTACCACTTGCCCCTATAGGGACATGTCCAGTATGTTTTCAGAATAATCAAGACTTTAGATCCCAAATGATTTAAAAATCCAGTTTAAAAAAGAAAATACTTTCCCCTTTCCTGCCTGAGTAGCTCCTCCTCAAAATATGAGCCTCTTATTCCTTTGGATGGCAACACGAGAACATTTATTTAAAGACCCATTATTCTAATTCTTTTTCAAACATGGTGGCCTTTCCGTGTGCTTGGCTATCCCGTGTCCTCAGGCAGCTCCGTGGCATGAAGGTTTTGTCTGCTTTCATAAAGGTTTCAGCACATGAGAAGTAGGGGGGTGGGGAAGGGAGCTAGAAGTGTACCCTTTTCTGGGGCCCCCAGGCCACTGTGGAATGATTTAGTGGCAGAATGCAGTCCAGCCTCCTGGAATCAATTCCTTTCAGTGCCAGCACTGTGTTGAGGGGCGACCTGATGTATCTGGTGGGTTCGAAGGTAAAACTTAACAAGGAAACTTGGCAGGGTCCTTTCCATGAGGCCGTGAAAGCTGATGTTCTCCTTAGATTCCATGATCCCCTTTCCACAATAAACAGCGGTAAAGAAAATGCAGCATTCCGACAGCCTGGGAAGATACTAGAATTCCTTAGGGAGCAGATTAGATACCCAGTTCATATGTCACTCACAGTTTAGTTTGCAAAACAGGATGGGAACTTCTAAGTAGCTTTTAGGGCTCTCGTCCATGAAAAGGGGATTATTTAAAAAAAAAAAAAAGGATGTCTAAAAACCTTATTTTTCACACAGATAACATTCAAACATACTTCACAATGCCGAGCAAAAGATATGGTCTTTAAATATAGTGACTTTCCCTGATAAACACATAAGTTGCTTCCCTCATTACTCCCACCCACCCCTCCGAACTTCTGTCTGGTTTCAGCCTCCATTCGCCTGCTATCAGAGACCAGAGAAAGATGCCAAAATGAGGCCCCTGTTGGGAGAGCACCAGCAGATTGCACATTTCCTGAAAGTGTCTCCTCGGGTATAAATAATTCATTAGCATGTACGAGAGAAGAACCATTTGGTCTGTTCCACAAGCTTGTCTTGGTGATGGGGTCCCCTTTGGAAGACACAGAGATCCAGATCAGCACTGAGAGGCAGGCACCCCACCCCCTTTGCGATTCACACCTAAAGGGAGCGTTCCTTGCCTCACCCCAAAAGGGGCGGATGCTCATGCCACATCCTAAAAGACATGGGTCCCTCAGAAGGAGTCTATGCTCACCTCACAGAAAGCCAAAGAAATTCCCTGGCATTCACTCATGCAATGACTTTCGAGCCCTGCCTACATCCTTAGACTGTAATTCATTCTGGAAATCTGAACTTCTATTAAAAATAAATGTTGACGGTTTTTTGATAGAGATTACCACAAACTCCAGATGACAGAGCAGCCAAAACAAAAAAGAAAACACTGACGGTAAGCATAGGTAGGTGGCATTCTTACCGATATTCTGTCCAAACGAGGCTACATAACGGTCCAACTGAGTGCACAGTGGCTGCAATAAGTTTCTGGTCCCGTGTCAGGTCTGGAGCCCATGTTCTAGAAATGCCATGAGTCTCAAAACCATTGCATATCCAGTTAGGAGGAAATTAATTTACTGATTCCCTAAAGAAGGCTTCATCTATTTCAAAGGCTCTGAGAAAGAAGAGCTTGCCAACTTTAGAGGTCAGAAGTAGGCACAAGTGGGAATTAAAGGAAAAGAACATTTGGCTCAATGTTTTTTTGTTGTTGTCTTTGTTTTAAAGATTTTTATTTCTTTATTTGAGAGAGAGCCCAAGTGGGGTAAGGAGCAGAGGGAGAAGCAGACTCTCCGCTGAGCAGGGAGCCCAATGCAGGACTTGATCCCGGGACTCCGGGATCATGACCTGAGCTGAAGGCAGATGCTTAACCAACTGAGCCACTCAGGCGTCCGAACATTTGGCTCAATGTGATGAAGTTTTAGACGAGTCCAATTAGCAGACGAGCCTTGTTGGAAAATAGTGCGATGTCCATTACTGAAAGGCCTCGAGTATACCTGGAAATGTCTAAACTTGCCATTGGAGGCCCCCACCTGTTTTTCTATGATCTGTGAGCTCAGAACAGTGTCTACACATTGAAAGAGTTGTAAACAGAGTAGACAGATGAGCAAAAAACCAGTAATCTATGACAGAGACCATATTATGTAGTTTGCAAGACCTAAAATACTATCTCACCCTGTAAGAAAAAGTTTGTGTCCCCACGGATTTGTTTTCTTGAGGTTGAAAGGAGGTTAAAGCATAGTCCTAATTTAAAAACTAGCACATCCTACTTAATAGATGTCTGTTCCGTTTTCTCTTACTTGAGTTATATATTTTTTTCTGACCATCTCTAGCGCCTAACGCCTGAATTCTCGGAGTGTTAGATCCTGGGTTCCCAATTTTCCTGTTTGACAAACCCTTTGTTTGTGCTACAGTCTCAGGAGTCTTTGGGAGGCTTCATGCATATTTATTACCATCTGGTTAAAACATAATTTCCAGCTTTTACCAGATGAGTTTTGACTTACTTTCTCCCCTTTGACCTACTCAAGCCACATGTCCTGGTCAGTTCAGGGGGCTGGGGAATTTGGGAATGTGATGATGAATGGGGTTACAGTGGGATTCCTCTCTCTGCATGGAAATCAGCTCTTAGTCACTATTACGAGGATTCTGCTGATAGAATCAATCAGGCCATGCTTGTGGAGCATCTTGCATATTGTGGATGCCTTAAAATCATCTCCTTGAAGTGTAACTATTTTGCAGGTGGAGATAAGAAGTGAGTTTAGAAAGTAAGAAGTCTTCCCAACCATCCATTCCCAACCATTCTCAGATCAGGCAGAGCTCAGTAAAATTGTATGAAACCACAGAGCCTACTTATTATGAACAGAGGTGTGATTTTAAATCTTAGTTGTAAGCTTATTAATGTACAAAATTTAAAAATTATAATGAGAGCCAAGCACACAAGGGTTTATGATAAAAGGGAAATAAAATTGATATAAAGTTGGAAGCTAATGAATTTAACACACACACAAATGCTTGGTCTAGATTGGGAAAACAATATTCTCGCAGGCAGAGATTATCTGATGGCCCAAAATAGCACTAACTCTAGAGCTAAATCAAGGGTTTGCATAAGGTCGGACCATGCAGTCTCAGGACAGGAAATAATGTACGGGAGTTGCTGAGAGTGACAGGTTGGCGAGTAGTGGCTCTTGCCTCCTTTTCTCTCCAGTCTGTTCTCTCTCCTGCTTTCCATGCATGGCTGCATCCTCTTCCCTGCGGATGGCTTTCTCTAGACACATGATGCCCAAATGCCACCAGCCCCTAGACTTCACATAGGGCTGCTGTGTATAAGTGTCCATCTGCCGCCCTGTGTGCAATGATCTGTTTACAAAATCTTGTAACTCTGCTTCTCTCAACCAGCTCTCCAAGTCTCTCGGTATCCAGTTCTAACCATCACGACAGGCTCTGATTGGATGTCTTGGGCAAGGGTCCACATCCTGATCCAATCAGCTGTTCCTATGTTGGGTTGTCACCTGGTGGAAACGAGGCTACCTATGCCTGCTCCCTACACAGGGGCTGTTTACATGTGGAAAAAGATAATCACTGACATGTTAGGACAAATACACATAGGTGAATGAGAAATCAAATAAGAAAAAGGAGTCATTGTATTAGGCAACTGGTCATTTTAAAATTTCACTTAGGATATATTGAGGATTTTGTGTTTGTTCACTATGAGTACATTCATTTTGCTGTCTGAGATGCTCCAGAAAATTTTAAAATTTTGAACAGAAATAAGAGCAATACACAGTCTTTCTGAAGCTTTCTGTTACCAGGCCAATGATGAAATGAATAACTGATGTTAACGTAGTCTAGCTGGACAAGATACAATGAGTTAGCCAGTGATAGAAAGTTCTTGGGGGGTGCCTGGGTGACTCGGTTGTGCATCCAACTCTTGATTTCAGCTCAGGTCATGATCTCAGGGTCGTGGTCTCAAGCCATGCATTGGGCTCCGTGCTCAGAGGGCAGTCTACTTGAGATTCTCTCTCTCCCTCTGCCCCTCCCCCCTTCAAATAAGTAAATAAATAAATCTTAAAAAAAAAAAAAGAAGAGAAAGTTCTTGAAAGCCCTGGAGGTAACTGGCCCTGAACACTTATAAGGGCTGGAGGAGTTTACTCCAGGCTCTGGAGTAACAAAGGGATGCACTTTGTTCAGTGCTCTGAGATACCCAGCTTCTTTAGAGTCAAATCCTAGGTCTTTTCCACAGCCTCCAAGGTGCCCCATGATCTGGTCACCCCACTCCTGCCCCCAACATACCCACTGACACCAATGACCCTGCCATGACTCTGACCTGTCTCCTCCCCTCTCTGCTCCTACCTGCACAGAGTGGGCTCTAAATATGCATCAAATGAGTAAACATATGGCTAAGATATAGATGGGAATTGAAAAGACAAAGCTTTTCAATCCAAGATTCTCAATGAGCAAAACGTGCCCCTCCAGCCCACCAGTCTGTCTGGGATTCCCTCAGCAACCTGCAGTTTTCCACAAAGGTTTATCAGACTGTCTCCAGTGTCCTGACATCTACTCCCCATCATCACTCACCTACATCCTCCACTGCCCCTTATTCAGGAGACTCCTCACCTCTCAAGGCAGACAGAACCAGCAGGCGGAAGCACTGGTCTCCCACGAGGTTACAGCATGCCCATCCTATTGTTGAGATGCCCCCAGACCCAGGCCCAGTGCCCCGATCTCTATGCTGTGGTGTCTCCCTCTTGTCTTGAAAGATTTTTCCCCAACATTCAGACATGATCTAGTCTTTCTCACCTTAAAATTTTTTTTTTAATTTAAATTAAAAAAATGTTTTCCATCACCC